CCGCCGCTCGCGCTCCGCTCCTCCCGCCTGCAGTCCGCCCGAGAGCTCACGGGAGCCTGCGGGACTCCCCCCACCCCAGGGGACCAGAGCTCAGCTCCTCGCTGCGGGAGGTGCAGATGGATTCAGCCCAGCAGAGCCCGTCTTGCCTCCTCAAACAGGACCAGGGCCCCACGGGGGAGCAGCCACCTAAACCCCAGCCCCGGCTATCAAATGCTGCCCCGCATCATGTTCAGCCGGTGCACCTTAAGTTGTGCTGTTCTGATTTCTCCGTGAACATGAATGGTGGCCTGCAGCTAAGGGGCAATCACTAGCTCCTTGCTCTTAGAGCAACAAGGTACCTTTCTCAGGCTTCAGAGCTTAGGACAGCAAATCCTGGAAGTCTGAAGGACACAGCGCCCGATTCAGGGCAAACTGGACATAACCATGACCTGTGCAGAGGCAAGGCTGGTCATAAGAGACACATTCCTTCGGGCAAGGATCCCTCATGTCTGCTTCTGTAGACCCTGGGCTTCGGGCAGAGCATTTCACTTTTGACTTTCTGCATTTTCATTTAATATATTTACATGTATAAACACAGAGCATAAGCGTACTGTACATTTTATCTTACATATGCACACAACTATGTTCACACCAAAGAGGACAAGGGCAGGGTTTTGCCAGGAATACCGCAGACTTACAGTCCCTAATCATTTTCACAGAGCAAACGTGGATCACAACCCTTCCCTGTGACGCTTGCTTCAAATGACCGGTGCTCCCATAGTGTTTGCCTCTGCTCCATTTAGCTGGAGTTTTGTGAAGCAGGAGCTGCACCTACTTGAAGCAAGAGGGACTCTCTCCAGCTGATGAATATTGAAGAGACAAGATCCCAACTTACTCTCCCAAGAGCCCAATCATCTGTTGAATATCAACAGCAAATACTAGTCAGGCCCCTCTGGGTTTCAGCATTACTTCATCCTAATAGAAGCGCTTTCCGGCTTCTCTGCATCTAGCTCTTTACCACTTGACCAAGCCATTACTTTTCTCTTACGGGCACACTCTGGTCTCAGGGTGCACTAGCATGCATCTTATCTAGACAGTCTGTCCAGAACTGGACAAGCCGGTTGTCTTTGTTCCAACAGAAGTCCGTGAAGTCCTTCAGCAACCGATCAGCGAACTTCTCATCCCCAGTGGCGCTGGACCTCCATGTTTTGGTCAGCATGCTATTGTAGGCCCAGTTGTATCCTACGCGCTCCTCACAGAACATGTTCTGGTTGGCTGAGCTGGTGGAGTTGCGCCGCCGTCGCTGCTGCCCAGAGAATTTCCGCTTGGAGTAAGGCAGCTGCAGAAACACGGTCCCTGTGGGAAACAGGCAGGGGTTTAAATCTGTGACCTGGCCCAGGTAAAGGAGAACTTTGCTTTGCCCAGACACCTGCAAGGACAAGTTCTCCCTAGAGGCTCTTTATTCCCTGGGGGGGAAACAACTTCCATATTTTGAGAGCAGAGCCTTTTGCATTGGGAGTGAGGGAAGAAAAGTTGTTGTTTCTGTCTCATTCTTTCTAACTTCAGAGCAATCTCCAACTAAGGGCCATCAGTAACTCAGCTTTCCTGCTGCCTCCCTGCCCAAGCCTCAGCAAAACTCCCAATAGCATTAAGTTATTCCACTGTGATATAACTTTTTTTTTTAAATTTGTATCCAAGGCTAAATTAGTCCAAACTAAATCCATACCCGAGTCCAGAACCATAAGTGGCCCTACTACCGGCAAACATCCTCCACCCACACCTGGGGCTTCAGATGTTTCCAAATCCTTTGGCAAGCACCCTACTTGCAGGCTGAAGCCCGGACGCTTGGAGTTCAGATGCCCCTGAGTTTTGCTGGCCCTTAGCCATAAGGGCCTCAGAGCAAACTAGGGAGGAGACTCCCATTTCCACAAACTGGGCTTAAAGCTGCTGCACCTCGGCAGATACTGAACCACGCCAGAAGAGCAGTTCTCTTGCGGTGCAGTTCAGGAAAACTGCCTTCATGGATACAGGTAGATGGTATGTCGCCTGCCAGGTTAAGAAGCCACAATGCTTGTCCTGAGTCTTCAAGAGGCCAAGAAACGATGCATGAAGCTTAATTAAATAGCACCAATACATCATCACAATTAGTGAAGGTCAGTAGGGAGTGTGTGTGGACTCCTAAATTTTTCAGTTAGGGTGTCCCCATCAGTGTGTGGAGGGAGGGGAGAGGAAGGAGGAGGAAGAAGAGAATTTTTCCCTGAAGTTGTGATCTTTGAGATGAGACTACCTGCTCAAGGTACGCTCAGAACTTTGGTTTATTTTTCAGCGTCTCCTGGATATAAAAGTTTCAGGAACTACTTAAAAGTTTCCTGTTCAACCTCATGTTTTTCACTAGTGACAAAAATTACTGAAGTCCTGTGCTTATCTGAGGTTATTATTTGTCTCTCCACTGTCTTGTGTACGCTTGCCCTAGCTGAGACAGCTTTTTTATAGCTGATTGGTAACATTATGAAGATCAGTGCCACTGATTGAGAACACAAACTAGGAGAGCAAAATGGTTCCCTTGCCTGTCTATAATCTCCATGACCTCACTGCCTGCCAAGTATTACTTACCCGTGACATGGATGTATTGGGGCTTGTTCTCAGCTGGGAAGTTGAATGCAGAGGCTGAGTATTTATCCTGCACAAATCCAAATCTGAGGAAACAAGCATTAAGGAGTGAAGTTACAAGCATAGGGGAAGAGTGCATACGAGGGAAAAGAAGGCAGAAGGAGAACTATGCCCCCATAGTTACTCCACTGAAAGAAGGAACTTCCCAATGCTCACTTACACCACCACTAAACATCACTGAAAGCAAGTGGGCAGAAAGTGAAAAACCACATCTGACCTTGAGCGCTGGGTGCAGGTTTTGGAACACAAAGTTGGTGCATGGAACAGGGGAACCAATGGACCAGTTTAGGGTGCTACCCAGTAGTCTGTGTTAAAAGGCCCCCATTGTACATACCAGAGGTTGACAATGTTTTTGGACAGAGTGCCAAAAACACCTGCAACCTCAACTTGTAAGATGTTGGCATGCCAGGCACAGACAACTGGGGAGCTACAAGGGGCCGATCCTTGTTGTGACAGTACAGCCCCGGCCCCCTCCCCAAGGTGCAAGTGCCAAGCAAAATGCCTTTACGTGCCACACTCTGGCACATGTGCCAGGGGTTGCCTACCCCTTGTATACATATTAGGAGAGACTACAGAACAGAGAATTTCCTAAGGCTGTTTCAAGCCTTAAGGATTGCTTGTACAGACTGGACAGTACTGCACAGGAACCTTCCAGCCACCCTGCCAGGACTGCTCTACGAATGCTCATCCCTCTACAGCAGTAGTTCTCAACCAGACTGCCACAGCACCCTGAAGTACTGAGACCTCCTTGAGGGGTGCCACAACAGCCAGGTAAAACTGCCACATGCACAGGGCTTTAACACTCGTATGCACTCCTCCTCCATTTGCGCTCTCTAATAACCCTAAAGCAGACAGGAGAGTTGGTTTGTGTTGCAAACCTTCCATCCTCAACACCCCCATTCAGCACCCTCCCAGAAACAGAGAAGCACAGGACAGTTCCACCTGCCTGCGTGCCTTTGTTTCCAGGAGATGCCATGCAGGGTCAGATTAGGAAGGGCTGCTTGCATAAGCCCACTGTCTTGCTGCTTTAGGGTTATCAGAGAACCTCCATACAGAAGGACAGGCATGTGCTGCAGCCCTTCCCAGTCCAGCTATGCAGCAGGTGCCTGGGACAGCTTCACCTGGAGGCAGCAGTACCTGGCTGAAAAGCACTGAAGTAAGTTGAGGCAACATCAACAATGGCTCTCAACTGGTGATGCCGCCACATTGAAAAGAAGAGTTGTGGAGGGGCGCCCTGACCCTAGAAAGGTTGAGAACACTGCTCTACACATTTTAGTCTGATGAAAACGTTCTCATGTTAGACAGATCCAAAATCCAGATTCTGCACAATGAAAAAGAGCCCAAGAGCAGCATTGTGAAACATACTGGCAGCCAAGGACTGTACAGAGGGTAGATAAATCCTTCTCACACAAAGGAGAGTTCAGAAGAATTCCAGGAGTTCCTTCTCAACTTGTTCCCAGCCTCCTCTCTAGGTCTCATATCCCTGTCACTGTCATTATCAATCACTCGTCACATCCAGATCAGGTGAAGCATTCCTCCCACATCTCAAGCCAAACATACTTCATCCAAATGTACTTCATCTACACTGCCTCCCACACACAAACATCAGAAGACATTCTAATTAACCAAGTATCTTTCTCAGAGGACTTAATGGAAGCAGATGGCACATAGCCAGGGTCTCAGCCTTGACAGTACTGCCTGAAAGCTCCAGTATCCATCTGTACAACCACACTCTCACCATCACCCTATCTGAGGATGGATTTAACTCTTACTCACCTTGCTCTGAACATACCTGTATGCAATTGCCTCCTGGAGTAGATGCATGCGATCCCAGTAAGTTTCAGGTTCAAAACCTGAAATGAGAATCAGGCAAAAGTTACCTAGAACCATTTAGTTTTTACTAAGCCATGAGGGCTCCTGTGTACTTCCCCTATCCCTTTAAGTCTCCTCCTATAATCTGTTTTTGCTTCCAGCAATTTCACTCAATGCCCAACAGACTATTAATGAGGCATTTTTAAAGATACCACTAATTAATCCATCTATCAACTCTTAGATTGGGTTTTGGAAACACTGAGGAATAGGGAAGGAACACACGTGGTGTGAAGGAGGGTGCTGTGGTTTTTATAGTCCCTGTGACCATCAGAGTACAAGCTTACATGCTTGTGATGCCCATTCTGGGTACACTTACAACTTTAATTTTTTTTGGCTGGGTTGCAGAGTGGGGTGCATCTAAGGTCAACCACCCCCTCTCTGAGAATCTGTTAACCCCAAATACAAAATATACATTAATTAAGGGAAGGAAAGTCAAGGCAAAAATGATTATGACCATCAGTGAACGCCTCAGCCCTGAAAACAACCTATGCAGAGAGTCAATGGAGCTACCCATGCCCTATAGCACTCAGAAGACTTATCACCCATTCGACCTGTACAGCCAGACTCTGGGGAGAGTGTTAATGAAAACAATAGAATTGTCTTTTTTTTAAATTGTAAATCAGTGTCCCTTTTCAGGTCGTCTGTCTGCACCATCTGTACTAAGCACCTCTGTGCTGGGAATGACTGGGCTCTGATCTCTGAGGACGCCTCCCAACTGAGGCTTATTGCAATAGTGTCGTTGGGAAGGGAGAGGTCATGCTGCACAAAAAAGAACTGACTGCAGTTTCTAGCCCTTAATCTCATGTGCAAACTCTCTTATCCTGAGGTAACCATGGCAACAAAAAAGAGGATGCCAATCATGAAAGTCTACCCAGTGTAACTTCAGAGAAGGGGAGATATGAACAGGTGCAGGATACAAATGCAGGATGGCTAACAAGTGAGACAGGAACTGTAGCCAGAATGGGCTTTGGTAGTTTTACAAAATGACATAATTAGCAACTTGATACAGTTTTTCTGGGGGCATCTAGTACAGCAACACAGGAGAATGAGCAGCACACAACCCTCCCTGTCAATGCACTTCTTGGTGACAAGCCAGTGCAATGGCACTACTTACTGCCCGTGTTACAGAGCTTTCCTCCATGTGCTAAAGGGGCTGTGCTCTTGACAGTGGAAGTGAGGAAATGCAATAGCTGGCATCTTATCCAGCCAGTGGGAGAATGGCAGGTGGATTTCCTTTATGCCAGCTGTGCAGTTCAGTGAGAGCTGTATCTGTAGGAAGTTACCCAAGAGAAGCAGAGGAACACTTCTTACCGTCAAACAGATGTTCACTGCCCTCCTTTAGCAAGCAGCTAACATTAAGTGGGATGAACAGCTGTGCTCGGAGTGGGTCTCCATACAGGTAACTGGGCAATGCAAATGGACCCTCTAGGACTGGAACCAGCAAGAAGCCACAGGATGTGGCTTTCCGATGCCAACCCTGAACCTGAAAGGGTTTCAGCAATAGACACATGAAGAAGAGTACTTATGTGCAGAGGAGCAAGTTGTCTCGCCAAGAATAAATCAGCTGTGCTCAGCCATCAGGGGCTTTGCTTGCCTTGCATCCTGAGCATGCAATCATCTTCGTAAGCAAAGCAGCACAAGATTGCAGAATTTAAATGTCTTGCATTCAAAGTCTTGTCTAATTCTATCCTAACCAGGCAACTAGTTGAATTAAAGACAACACACCCCAAATATGCTTGCCTCTTGTATAATTTCTGGACCAACATGGCCACAACATCACTCTAACATTAACATAAATCAGAAAGTGTTTTAAATGGGACATTCTCCAGAAACTGATCCAGCTCACTTATTCTGAATGGCTAAACACTGCTGCTTAACTGGAGAGATATGAACAAAACTTTCAGTGGAGGGGGACATATTTGACTAGTGCTAATAGGCCACATGTTAAACAGCTTAGAATTTATAAGTGCCAGCCTTCACATAGAAGCTGCCACATTAAAAATGTAAAGAAAAAATTAAACAAATATAGAGATATTTTTCTTGCATTTTTTAGTCCTAGCACTGAACAGACTTGTGGCTGGACTGGGACAACAGGCAGCCTGCATATAAATCTCCATAAAAAATATTTAACTTATTTCCACTTTAAAAATCCAAGACACAAGGGTTGAGATTTACTCCTGTGCAGAGAACCAGCATGAGGCCTATGTGCTACTCCAACTGGACTTACATGAAGCACAGGTCTTGTGAATGGGTACACAAGGTAAATTTAACCCCTCAGAAGCAGGAGACTGCTACTTCTCAAGTAGAATGATTCACACTCAACACACACACACATGCAATTACACCTAGAAGTGACAGAGCTCCTCACAGAAGCACACATACGCTATAATAAAAGTACTGAGCAAAACTGCCCATCAAAATAAATGCCAATATCACTTCACAGCATCTTCTACTAGCATACGCACTTCCCATTAGCTTCATATTTATTGTTTTACCCTGCTCCACCAAGTAGGGGACATGCATGTCAAGGCAACCCGACAACTCTTTGGCCATCCAGGCCACAAGAGCCCTTACCATCTCAAAAAGGACTGCTGCTGTCACTGCCATCCAATGTAATTTGATCTCGAAGGCAGCATTCAAGGAGAAATTGCCATGGTAATAACAGCTGCACCACTCCAAGCGGTCAGTGCGGTTATTCACATCGACATCCAGTGTCACTGTGCGTTGTTCAGGCACTGTAGCAGCTACACAGGTGGGAGTCAGTAGGAGGGTTAAAAATACATGTATCCAGAAGAGAAGGAAAGGAAAAAAGTCAGACTATGAGCGTTCTGGCATGGGTTGGTTTCCCCTTTTGCACTTCCTTGTCAACACAACACAGGCTGGTCTAGATAACGAGAACAAACGGAAGAAAAAATTTCCACCCACCTGAGGGCTTCTTCCCTCCTGAAACATTATCAACAGTTAAGTGACATCTAAACTGAGGCAAAAGGCCACACTCTGACCTAGAGCATGAGTCAGTCCCAGGACCTACTCATTGAAAATGGACCTAAGCCACAATTTAGCAGTACCAGACAAAGAACACTACAATGTGGGAAAAAGGAGAAGGCAGAAATCTAAAATACACCCAGTAATGCACTCCAAATCAATTCTAATGCTGTTCAGATGTCTCTGTAGAAGGTCACAACAGTACATGGTTTCAGATCAGGAGAGAAGTATTTCATGGTTTACAAAAGCAAAAATAAATCAGGAATTAAATGCATCTCCCCAACCCCAAAAAGCCACCTGGCATTATTGCACAGTTAAAGCTGCACATCTTTCCATTGTTAAAAAGGCAAGAAAATCTAAAAGTTCAGGTCCCTGCAGCAATGTTCTCTCTTGATTATTGCACTGACAGCGTTTTCTATCCTGTTATTAGCACTGTAGTAGTGCTTAGAGATCCCCAATCAAAATTAATGACTCCTTGTTTGAGGCACTCCACTAGCACACTGCAAATACCAATCCTTGCCTCAAACAGATTTCAGTCTAAATAGATTGGGAGGGGAAACAAAGATGGAATGGAAAGGACTTTGTCTAAGGTCACACAACAGATTGATGGCGAAGCCAGGAATAGTACTCAGGTCTCTTGACTCCCAGGTCCAGTGTCCTGCCCCATAATTACACTGCTGCTTCTTGCATTTCTGATTACATGGAGTTTAATACACCTCCATACTGTTAAATGCTAAACATAAAATGCTGAAGATGTACATTAGGGCCATAATACTACTGCAGGAACCCTCACTTTAGCATTTCCCGATCTGTGCATTTTGAACTGTGGTGCATTAATCATTCTGTGGTTTTCTTAGAGGGAAGGTGCAGTGCATGCATCTAACTTCAGCATCCCAATGGACCCAACTGAGGTTTGAAGTCTGTCTCCAAAATAGACAAAGAATTCCCACCTTTGCTTCTACTATAATTTGGCTGGAGATGGTTCTCCGTGATGCTGGATTACTGTGCTACTGCTATTACTATAGCTTGACAAAAGAACATGACAGAAATGCTAATAAAAACAGGCGTTTGGGACCAACTTGGAGAACATCACTCAGATGCTCTTTTGTAAACAAGACTCTTTATATGCACTTGCCTGATTTTCAGAGAACTCACCTGGTTCCCAATTGTGTCTTGTATCACTGATTATTTAACTAATGACATTATGAACACCGGAGAGGAGCAGACAGGTTATTCTCCAACCATGGACTACACTATGTACATGGCTACAAGTGCTAGTGCATGCATTGCTATAAATCAAAAGGAACATGATTAGGTACATCACAGATTGGATTTCCATAGGGAAGGGAAAGGGAATGATCACTGGGCAAGTCACAGGGAAGTGGACAAGGATATGGATTTGGGGGTACATAGAGCTTGTTCCAGAGCTCCCAACACTTGCATGCTGTTTTCACATCACAGGCTGACACTTAGGGAAGGTGGGGGAAGGGGGAAGAAATCAAAAACACAGCCAACCAAAGGCAAGAGGGGAACCAATGAAGTCACGTGGACCGGATGTCATCTGGTTTAGTAAAGCTTCCTGCCTCAGGATATGCTGGTGACATTTTTGGAATGTTTAAAATGAGGAACAGCACAGAAGTGGCACAGAACCTTCCTCCTCTCTGAAAAGAAATGCCATACTGTTTTCTGCAAGAAAATTCCATCATCCTTTTGAACAAACCATAATGGACAACATGACTGAGTTGCTTGTCAATCAAGGAAAACCAAGCTGGTTAAGGAATAATTATCCCCATTTTACAGGGGGGGAAAACAGATGCAGAGGAAGAAAATGATTTATCAAGACTACACAGCGAGATGGTGACAGAGGCCAGGCCATGCCCTGGGGGCCTCACATTGCCTTCATGGCAGCCTGAGCTCAGGTTAATTTAACCCAACAGTTATGGTTAAAAGGCTGGGTGCAGGCCAAAATAATAGCTTTAATCACATGGTAAAGATGGGGAGACAGAAAGAAAAAAAACTGCTGCCCATCTTGGCTAGACACACATTAAATGAATCTTTCAGTTTACAGCCTTCCCCCGATCTCCCCTTTTTTAGTTTCTTGTGCTGTTCCTCTTCAAACAAGGCTTTCAGAGATGCACAAATCACCATACCTTTAGGTTTAAAAGATGCAGCTACAACATAAGACAACAGCTTATTGCTTCTTGTCAGAGATGTCAAATATGTAACAAAACACCACTGCAGATTTTCTTTGTTATTCTTAATTGATAACGGAGTTTCAGATGCATCTTATAAGCCTGAAGTTACAGTCCAAAAGCAAGGATTCCTCTGGCATGTTTTACAGGGGAGATACAGAATATGGCAGGAGCAAGTGACTCAAGCTGGCCTGGAAATAAATGAGAAGACAACAAAGCACACAGAAAGACATACAGCCGATGCATTTCACTGGCTGGTAGTGGCAGAAAAGGCACAGTTTGGTTTTCCTGGCACTCCAATAAGAAGTGCAAGGAGGTTTTGAGAAAGATATGCAACGTCATCCCCTTAACTACATGTCCTGAGGTTCTCTATTCAAAACCTGGCTCTTTCACTGGTGGGAACTTTTGCAAGCTGTGAGGGAACAGATAATCAAATAGAAGCAAGTTAACAGGGAACTAGGGTCTATCACAAAGCAGATGACTCATGGTAACTTTCACACAAACGTTGAAAAGTGAAAGCTAAATATGGACAACTGAACCTGAATGAAATAGAGCTAGTTCAGCTTTCACTTAACAGAGGGTAGTGGCTGGCATATGAATACTGTAGCTCCCCCACATCCACCATGCCAAAGCAAGTCCCTGCCCCGTACCATGTCAATTCACTTTAGTTTCCTTATTAGTTCATACCAGAGCCCAGAGGCTCTCTCTGGTTATTAAAATGGCAGCCTCGACTAGTATTAGTAATATTCCCAACTGGTACATCACATACGTCCCATGTTACCAAGACGGGTAACAGCAGGACTCTTGCCAATGAGCGCAGTTGTTCAGGGACATTAGACCTGTTAAGTGGAGATCTCCTGCTGTTATTGTCATCACTTTGTGCATAGCAAGAACTAAAGAGACCTCGATTCAACAAGGAGACAGGAGGTCCGTATCACCTCTTCCTCCAGCTCTGGGGGATGGTGGAAATATTTCATGTTTTTATTGCCTTCAGATAAGAACAAGCACAGATTGTCCCTCACAGCCAGTGAAACACAGCCTGGAGACATGAGAACAAGACCATCTGCATGACACACGTAAGGCCAGTATGAGATGAGACTTTGCTACTGGTCCACGTGAGATCATACCCTTGGGTTGGCCATTCTCCCCCTTCAAACTATCCCCTTGTACTTCCCCAGATGTCACCTGTGTTGTGCATCTACCTAATAGTGCAGCTGCCTGGCTCCGTCCTCCGAAACTGCGGCTAAAGGAACTGTGCCTACTTGCATAGGAGGCTGGACGGCTGGGAAGCCAAGGTAGGAGGAATGCTGGGATTTCTGAGTGCAAGAGTTCTTCTGCCACAAATGCCACCTCAAACCATTTCCTCTGGAAGGCAGAGAAGTCATCCATTGCTGCTGTGTGCCACATGGGAGGCTGCTGCATACCTACTGGATGAAGGCAAAAGGGAAGGACTAAACAGCCAGGAACAAGGTCCTCTTGACACACAGTTACCATTACCTTCTGGCATTTCTATAGCTTAGACCAGGGGCAGGCAATTATTTTGGCTGGAGGGCAGCTTAACAAGTTTTGGCAAGCTGTCAAGGGCCGCAAGGGTAGCCACACCCCTTGACAGGTACCCCGCCCCCTGGTCGCCATCTTGGAACCAGAAGTCCTGCCCCCTAACCCCTGACCTTTGCCACCAGAAGTCCCTCCCCTTACCCCTGGATGTACTCATTCTGGTCAGGGGGTTCCCCATCTTGGCACCCAAAAAACCCCTAAATTAAAAATCACGCACCATATGTTAATTTGAATTCAAAAAATATTTTTGTCCTGGTTGTGTTTGCATAGTGTACATAGAGGTGATTGCATAATAGCTTAAAATGAAGTCTTACTTGTGTACATTGTAGTGGGGTATGGAGGGGTGTGGGGGGGCTGTGGGGGTGTGTGTGTGGGGTTATATGTATGTGGAGGAGGGTGTGGGTGTGTGTTTGAATGTGTGTGGGGTTTGTTGGGGGAGGTGGGTGGCTGTGGGTGTGTGTGTGGGCATGGGGTTTGTCGGGGACTGAATGCGTGTGTTGAGGGGATTGTGGCATGTGCGGAGAAGGAGGGTGGCTTGGGTGTATGAGGAGGGGTGGGGTGTGTATAGGGGATGTGGGTGCGTGTATGGCGATGCAAGGGGGGGGGATACATGTGGTACACCACCTACAAAGAGCCCCCTGCCCCCAACACACGCCCCCCTCCCTCATTGTGCACAGCCCCTGCTACCACCGGCAGCAGCAGGCAGCAAGGCCTCAGTGCTTGTGGCCCATGGCAGGCGGAGACCCCCAGAGGTGCGTGGTCCCGGTGAGCCCCACGACTGCATGTGGCCGGGACACAGGCAAGAAGGGAAGACAGAGCCAGCCTGGTGCCATAGAGCCCTTGCCAGCCTGGGCTCCACATTCCTGCCTCCCCACCCTGGGCACCAGCACAGGCCCTGTGCTTCTGCCCGTCCACTGCCACTTCCTCACCATGCTGCCTGCCGCTGCTGCCCTTCCCCTGCCGCTTCTCCTTTTTCCCACCTGCCGCCACCACTCCCCTGCTCCCACTCGCTGCTCTGGCAGCTCGCAGTTCCCAGCTGCATAGCCAGGACTGCAGGATGCAGCAGGAGCCAGCTCAGCCCCTCCGGTACCCAGCTGGCTCCTGCTGCCACTGGCCCTGGCCCCGGGTCCCCATGCTCTTGCCCACCCGCTCACTGCTGCTTGCCCCCAACCCTCTCCCCATCACCACTGCTTTCCCTGCACCTGCTGCTCCAACACCTTGCGGTTCACAGCTGTATGGTCAGGCGTGCAGGATGTAGCAGGAGCCAGACCCACCCAGCCAGGCCTCCACAGTTCTCGGCTGGCTCCTTCTGCGTCCTGCAGTCCAGGCCACGCAGTCAGAAACCCCCCGCCCATTCTTATCCGAGTTTCCACTCTCAGATGGAGGGAGGTGGGGAATAGCCCCATGGCTGCCAGGCCAGACGCCTCTGCTAGGCAGAAACTTCTGGCTGGGGACTTTGGGTGGGGCAGGGCTAGGCAGGCCTTGGTGCTGCCGCCAGCTCCTCCTGGGTCTTCCTGCTGCTGGCGCCTTCCCATCTTCGACAGGCAGCCACAGGCAGATAATAAGTCATTTTCTAAATTTTTAGGGGCCCCGCAGGCCGGGCAGAATCGCCTGGCAGGCCGAATCCAGGCCACGGGCCGTATTTTACCTGCTCCTGGCCTAGACTGAGAGAACACAAAGATCTCACACCTGTTCTTTGATCAAACCTAACTATCCGCCAGCAATTGAAGGAGAAGCTTTTCAAAAGAGGGAGGACAGAAGCATCAGATTACATCTGTCCCTAAAATTCACTTTTTTTTTTTTATTCAGTGTATGAGGTCTAGGGATCTCTCTTTGGAATCCCCTAGAAATTAACCCACAATGATCTTCATTTATGGCTACTCCTCACAACTCTTTCAACTTCCTTCCAAGGATGCACTTCTGCTGCAACACCTACAACATAACTGGCAATGCTAAGTGTCTGTGCCAACAGCAATGGGACAAACTATTGCTTTTAGTTCTGTAGGAACATGAGAATCTGACCTCTGTCTGGGTCCTTATCAACGACAATCTTGTAAAAATAAAACCCATAGATGAAGGTGCGCAAGGCCTCTCCAGAAGCATGGACAATCAACTGCTCATCCAGCATTTTCTAAGAAGTCAAACACAAAAGAAAACATACTTTTTCAACAGTGTGAAGGGGGCTCAGAGAGGAATAAGACATTAGAAAAATGGATCTTCCCTTGCAGAGATTCAATGTACATGTCACCTGGCCTGCAAATATGGGAGATGCAACATGACATTTTGCATGTTTAGCAGACTAGTGGTGAATAAGAATCCACCCAAATCTTTACCTCCTAGATGAAATGCCCTTTTGTCATTTTAGTTCCCTCCCTTTCCTGTCCAGATTAGTATTCCTCTGCTGTACTTCAGTTGAAGTTTAAGAATGCTGCCCTCTTATTTAGATGCCTTTCTTACACATGGGTTTTAAGAAAGCTGCAATAGCTAGGATGTGGTTTCAGAAATCAGAAGTGTTAAGATCCTCTCTGCTTGCTGCTCTGGAATCAAAGGAAGGGAAGAGAATTCTAGAGCATTTCTAAGCCTCAAAGACTACCCCTACCACATTCATACATTCATAGATGTTAGGGGCTGGAAGGGACCTTACAAGATCATCAGGTCCAGTCCCCCTGCACTTGGGCAGGACAGACTGCTGGGGTCAGATAACCCCAACAAGGTGGGCGTCAAGCCACTTTTTGAAGATTGCCAGGGTGGATAACTCTACCACCTCTCGGGGAGCCTGTTCCAAACCCTTGGCACTTAACTTGTAAAGAAGTTTTTCCTTATGTACAGCGTGAAGCAATTTTCTATCAGTTTGTGCCCATTATTTCTCGTCTTCCCCTTGGTAGAGAAAAGGCCACTGCACAACTTACGTATGCATATATCTTACAATCATCATTTTCACCACACACCTGTAGTATCAAAAGTAGTTGGTGCAACAAAATGCAATCCTATCACAGTGACCTACACTTTTAATTAAATCAGAGCTTGTGGTCCCCATGAGCCAGGGCACAGTATAACTTTTAACCTGTCCCATTAGCAAGGAAAATAATGCAACCTCTGCTGCATGTTGGCAAGCTGTTCAGTAACAGAATATCCAGAATTAAGTCTGCAGGAAAATATTTTACCTAGCTTGTATCAAAGGGCAATTGGATGAGTTGCAAATTGAATGCTAATGTAGCCGCAGCCTCTATTGCAAGCTAACGCTCTGCATTGTGAGGGAGTACAGAATTCTGCTGATAGAAGGTCATGTTCCCCCTGCTACTATTACTACACAATGCTAGACAAGAGCGGGAATAGAGAGAAATTTACACTGCAGCTTCCCCAAGGTTTATGCCTTCCCCAGTGAATAGGATATTTCTGGCACTGCCTCTGCTCCTTTGGTCAGTCCACTTACCTGCATGATATCAATAGCCATTGCCTGAGTCTGCACTCCTTCCACATTGTTCACAAGCCAATGGACGACTTCAGCACTGATGAAGGAGTATGGGGAGAGGCCTTTCTGTTCAGACAGCAGCTGTATCCCTGTACTGGAGCCCAAAGAGGGAAACAAAGAAGTTTAAAAAAGCAGAAGCTTAACTTTTACACAGGGGAGTATTCCTAGGTTACTCCCTCAAACTACTTCAGTAAGGCTGGGACCATAGTAATTGAAATCTACACAGTCATTTGTACCCTGATTTCTAGGCACAACTGCTGGGAGAGGCTGGAAATGAATACCACAAAGACTGCTAAAGAAAAGCCATTCTAGCATGGACAGAGGCAACCTGAGCAGGGTGCAGGGCCCAGGACAAATCAGCCCATGCAGGGCCCCACCCCCTCTCTGATCCCACAGGCCCTGGACGTGAAGAAGCTGCTGTGGTGTTCGCCGGGGGGTGGGGGGCAGTAGCAAGCGACTGGACACAGCCACCGCTTCACCCAGCTCCGCGCTGCTGCTGCTCTGTCTGGCTCCATGGGGCCCCCCCAAAGCATGGGGCCCAAGGTGGTCGCCCCGATTCATCCCCCCCAGGGACAGCCCTGACGGTGGACTATAACTGCTATATTGAGCATTCATCCTTTACTCCTAAGGTCTTTCCCCAAAGCCCCAGTCCAGTTTTGATTCAGAACTTACGTGGGATGCTTCATGGCTTCAAGAATTTCAATCAGAGTGGATGAAGAAGTTAGTGAGTTCACAGAACACTGCTGGGAGCTGAAAAGTAATGTAATGAAAGTGTGTTTTATAACCGAAGTAGTTGCTAAAACAGAATTGCTGCCCCTTCTCTTCCCAATAATGGCTGTTCCCTCTCTATCCCTGTCAGTCATATAAAGAAGCATATGTTAAGGCCTTGGGCTAATTCTTTTCTAAGCTATAAGCATATTCCTGAGCCAGCTGTATTCATACTGCACAAATCTTTTCGATATGCTGAAGTGCAGGTGGAACGGAGAGCATGCATTTTTAAAGCTGGCATGTTTTTGACTTGCATAATAAACAAACCTGAGAAACAGGTGCAAACAATTTATTTTTAACACTGCTTCCCCGCACAGTAGGATGCCATCAACCCACTTTTATCCTATGGTACCATTTTTTTCCTGCAAGGAGAAAAGACACTGATTTCCATGTTTATTCAAACCACAGCTTCCTCGCAGTGTTCTGCTAATGGATCTCAAAGATTCACTGTGGAAGGATGAGACTCTTTTAGGGAAAGGGGAAGACAGGGCTCCAGGTCTATTCAGGCTTGGAGAACAAAGACTGGGGCTGTTTTTAGGATGATTATCCAAAGAGAGCATTCTGCATCTGAAAGTCCTGGAACAAGGTCTGCATGTGACAAGCACCTTGCAGGGCTGACAATCGTAGTACAACAAATCACGTATGCTGTCTGATGCTGTTTGTGCTAAATAGCCCCATCTTACCAGAAAGCAGACTGCAGTGAACAAACATCACTGCAGAACTGCTGTGCTTTTCTCACCTGTTCTCGGCTGAACCAGTTGTAGCATATCCTTGGTCTCCTATACTCTGGGAACTTCCTAGGGCCTGGGCGCTGCCCCTCTCAGCTGATTGGCCTGTGCTGCCATCTAAGGTAGCAGGAGCTGTTTGATCTACAGACACCTGCAGAGAACATGACATAACATTGTTACACAATTCACACCACAGTCCTTCTTGCATATCTGCTAGTCCTCTCAACAGCCCCGTACCTCATGTTCCTTTCACTGATGAGCAATACTTCAGACAACCATGCACACATGCAAAAGGCAAATCTAGTCCTGTTTGGGGCACCACCACTGACAACTCCAGAATGAGTTATAGTATCCCGAATTGGCCCAGATCAGCATCACTGAAAGAACTGTTGGTCAGGTAATGGTACTTGTCACATCCTGGTATTTTCAAATTCAAAAGCATTGAGATTTACAAGGAAGTGCCACCACACAGACACATGGCTGACAGAAGAGAAACACTAGTCACTAAAAGGAAGTGGGAAATGATTAGGGAACAAAACCCAAAAAAGCACAAGTAAACCCCTCCTCCACCTCTTACTCCAAGACTGGAGTACATGAATTCACCGCAGGGAGTTCAGGTTTCTTAATATGAAGAGACCTCTCTCTCTCAAAACCATCTTCCTTTGATTTCTTAAGGTAGTATCAAGGGACTGATTGGCAGTCGCCCACAGCTACGTCACTGAGCAAGACTACAGAACGCTTTCCTCCCACGAGAACACTTGTACTATTCCATGGCACACTGAATAGTTAGCAAAAATTAACAAAAAACCTTTTCAGAAAGAAGAGGAATGCTGAAAGATTCAGCAAAAGACAGGCTGTAATTACCATCTGTCATTAACATGTATGGCTTAGGAAATGCACATTATGTAAAAGCTACATTACAGAAGTGTGAGGGAGGCATGTGAAATAGCAGAGACAAACTGAAATAGGTATAAAATTAGGGCTGATTTGCCTTTGTGATTCCAAGGTACAGGCCTGTCTGAAGGCACACAGCTGGCCAAGGCAGGCAGCCTGAAGGAGGAGGACAACTAGACTACGGGGCCCTGTTATCCTATGTCACATTTCTCACTCCCACCAACTAAGTTCTCACATACTACAAACGGTGTTCTTTCTCCACAGCCAGAAAGTGGCAGATGCTCCATATTGAAGCTACAGCCAAATCCTACCCCTCCCTAGAGCTGGTTTGGGCTAGCACACGCCAAGAATACACTATCCTATAACCAACCTTAGGTGGGGGTACCAAGGAGCATATAAACTACATCTGCCATTACTACCTGAGAGGATAAAGGTAAATTATACAATGTTTCCAGCCCTCGGTCACTTAAGAAGCCTAAGGTCACACCTCAATCTCCACAGCATCAGTTAAGACGACAGATTCTGCAGGAGAAACTTGGCTGAGAATTAGATAAATATGGGCCATTGCTACCTTGATTTAATGAGAGGTGGTAAAAAACAGGAACTTATTGAAAATATGATTGATTTCAGTATTTGGCAAGAGGCTTGCTAAGAAAAACAATGCAGGGTACAACAATATCTAAAACACAATATAAGTATAGATAGTTGTGAAAAGAAACCAGTGCATTCACCACCAATCAATCTTTTTTATATTGATTACTCTCCTTTTACTGTAGTGAATCACTAACAGTACTGTCCTCACTGGAAATCAATGAGTATAACTGGGAGCTAGCCCATGCTTAACACCCCCAGATTTAAGTTCAAGGGCACAATATTGTGCAAGTCCACATACCAGCAATGGTAAGAGCCAATGCCAAACTGACCTGTGGATAGAAGGCTGAAGCTGTGCGTGGGCTGCGAACAAACTCCATAAAGAAGGCCCCATCCTGAAGGCATCAGGAGAAGTAGGAGCAGTGGTGGCAGCAGCGACAGGAACAAGGATTGGAAGAAAAGCAAAAGAAAGCATTGTGCCAGTGCGCAATCACCACAGGGAGGAAGGCATCAGAGGAGTTAGGAACCCAAACGAACCCAGAAAAGCAGGCATATCAGAATGCAGAGCATCAGTTCTTTCTGTCTCTCTCTCTCCTTAGCAGACATGTCCCAGGTACTCATTACAGAGCATCACAGTATGATTAGGGGCCAGCTTAGAGCACAGCCTTTCCTTGCAGGGAGAAACATTCAAGATTACAAGTGTACTGGTTTTCATTTCATGGAACTGCAAAGGCTGTGAAATGATTCATAACCTCCAGAACAGCAGGATGCAATGGCAACTTTAAGAAATCATCCTGGTTCTCTCTCATTAGTCACTCAAATGACAAAAGGGAGTGGCGAGAAACTCCTTTCAGGATGTATTCTCTTCTCAGCTGCAAATTCTATTATGGTATGAGGGATAGAGAAAAATTCACTGTGGACATGTTATGTCACCAATTTCAAAACACAAACAATTAAAAAGACCCTCCCCATTCTGCATTCCCCTCCTACTCATATGCGGTACCAATGTCTCCCTGCTACTATTCAAGGATTTGTGGCAAGTCCTGCCATATATGATGGGGTAATGGATTTCACTAGATTCTCTCTCTCCCTCTCTCGTTTTGATAGGCTTCTTTAGGCAAAACCATCTATTGGTTTGCAGTCACTAAGCTGAGGATATATACGCAGAAGACTTATGTTTCCAGAGACTCCATGCTGTGATTACATATCTGACGGCCTAGAGGGTCCGGCAGCCTACAAAGGCCAAAGCTAGAGCAAGAAACTTTACAAATAGCTGTGTTTGCCCAATTAGGCTGTGTACCCAGTTAGCTTCTCATCTTAAACTGTTTGTGGCAGTATGTGAACTGCCTACCAACTTGATTGGTCAGGTGCTCTGAAGCCAGGAAAAAGTATGGGGCCATTAATGCAGTCCTGCCTCAGAATGCACCAAACTCCAGAGCTGAATGGCCTCTTGACAGATGATCTTGCTCTGCATGACATAACACACAGCCGTAGTAGTGTCAGTCAGCATGTGGGTTGTGGATTTCCAGAGTAGCAATAGGGATATCTTACATGCCAAGTGAAGGACTGAGCCCTAGGTCATTTGTGATGCATAAGCCTGTGTGTCCTAGTAGGCTAAGGTCTATTCTACCCAAAGATTCAGTGAGTTTGATGTTGGTTAATGAGGTTCAACAGCATCTGGAATCTTCCATTTAAATATAAGCCATTACCTTGGAAACACTTACAAATAAAACCTTTTTAAAAGTACTCATTACTGAAGTGTCCAAGCTCTGCCAAAAGCAGATATGCTCATTTAGATTCTACATTAAAGCTGCCCTTTGGACCAAGTTTTAACCTAGTTTTTCAGTTATAGCCAATAGCATTTGTGTAGAGAACAAGATATACTCTGCAGTCTGTAACAAAATGTGGTACCAGTTCAGTAAACAGAATATGCTGACAGAGAGCCAAGTTTTTCCTTCTTCCATATGTTGTGCATGGTGCCTCCCCCTTGCCCTTCGTGAAATCCTCAGCAGTGTTACTGGTGCTAAAAGTGTGGGTTTTAACTGAGGAAGAGCAATGTATGGAAGTATAGGCTACTGGGCAGTTCAGCTATGAGTTCTTAAAGCAAAAATTAGGGTCCAAAGGTCTTCAGACGAACTTAACTCTCTTCATTTATAGAAAGTCCCATCCCTTCCCCCTTTTTCAGTAGAGAAAGAATCTACAAGTTCCCAATGCAAATAGAGGTTTCTTTGCAATAAGAGCAGAGTTCTTGAACTACCATATCTACATGAATATAAGATGAGGTGTCATCCTCCAATAAGCTTGGGGTAAAAAGTCCTTAGTTTTATATTTGCTGGGGGGGGGGCAGGACAGGCAGCTGTTGCAGCTCTGACTCTGGCCCTGAGCCCAGGTCAGGGTCAGAGTCAGACCAACAGCAGCCTCCTGCTACCCCTCTGCCCCACTTCCCCTCTGCAGTTTTAGAGTACCACCAGCACACTCTTAACAGTTGGTCCTGAGACACCATAGAGACTCTTCTTAAGCTGTTGGCTGCACCTTCAGATTTGAACCGACACTGGAGTCGCACATTACCTGTGCCTTGGTTCCTGCCACTTTGCTTGAGCCCCTACAGGAAAATAGGTTGTTTCCTAACTTGAAACCAGAACCTGACTAAAATAAAAATCAAGACCACTACCTGCAGGGGAATAAGGGTAACTCGCAAGTAAGAGTGTACTGAGAAGCAGGCACACAGAGCTGGGATTCTTCCTTGTTGCAACAGCCAATAGAGCCAAATGGAGATGTTTGGGCCTCTGCATCTCTTTATGCATTTAGATGAGGGGGTATAAGGACATCTCGGGTGAAGCGCAGCCGCAACACACAGATGGCTTAAAAAAACATGACATCACAGGTCTGAGGAAATTGATTTGAAAAGCTTTTCCCTTATTTGAGAGATTTTCTTCTGGAATTAGCAACAAAGGACAGGATGAGAGAGAGTTTACCTTGCGAGGGCTGTCCATGTAGGTGGGTGTGATGGCAATGCTCCCACTCTCAGTAGGTTGTGCAGAGCTCTTCCCAGCAAGCATTGCTGCTTGCTGCTCCCCCAATGTCCTAAAATAAAGGTGAGGAAAACCATAAAGCTTTTTTTCACAACATCCTGGCTAGACTGGCTAAAGACTGTTCTGGGAGGAAGAGAAGGGTGCTTTCCCCCACAACATGTAAAATAGCAGGGACCCCTTAATTTATTACCAGCTTTCTTCTACACGCATAGTACTGCCACCTAATGAATATGTTCATGGATTTCCTTTGGTACACTTAGCACCAACAGCCCTGGAAATAAGTTTTTGCTCTCAAGGCTACATATAGTACCAGCAGTCTTAACATTTACTCAGCATCTTCTCTAAGGTCCTGCTAGTAATACAACTACTTAGCCTCAATGTTTAGCCTTTGCACAAAGACACTTTTAGGTAAAGGCTGCACACGCTCTTAGCTCACGCAGAGCACTTTCCACATGGATTCGCAGAAACAGAGTGGCACTATAGTTCACAGAACCATCTCAACACTAGGCAGGCTTTACCAGCTTAGCAATTGCTGGGATGATATACAAGTGCAGCTCTTGAAACGGGAATGCCCTTACAATGGGCAAGGCTGCACCTTATGCTATTAGAGTACAGACATCCCCATGAGCAAAAACAAGCTAACCAGTAAAACAGATAAAATGTTTTCAGAAAGCATTGATATAATGTGTCTGTACTACAGTCTTCACCTGACAATGACTCTGGGCAGAAGTGAAGGCTTTTCACATCGTTGGCCATTACAGCTATCGTGGGAGAAGCATCTAAGGGTAAACATAGCCTAAAACATGACTGCTCTGCCTTATGAGGGGAGCTAAAAGACATTTTCACTCTAATAAGCATCAGAAAGAGTTCTGATTTTAAGAAAAAAAAAATTGCACTTGAATCTACACAGATCACTTAACTATTTCTGATCAATCTGTAATATGAGCTTTCAGTCAGAAACAAACGTTCAGATACAGAAGGAAGGAACACTTATTTCAAGTGAAATGAACTACAGTGTACAAAGCAAGCACAATATAAGACCACAGACAGCTAAGGCCTTGTCCATACTGAGGTTTTACCTACGAAAGCAAATGCATTAGTGAGACTCCCTTGCGCACACATGACTGACAACAGTGCAGGTCACTTCGGTTCCCAATTAAGACAAGCCACCCTAAGGTAAATTCCATCAGACCAGCATAAGCGGTGTCTAATAAACCAGAGCATTAGTACTGGTGCAGCTATGCTGCTAGTGGTAGCTGAAAACTCACCATAAACATGGCTTTTTCATCAGAGGAGGAAACACTATGGCTGTTCCAACAGAGATTGGAGGCATCACCTGCATAAAGGCTTGAATCAATTCTCTCCCTAATGTGTGGGAACTTGCATGAAAGCATGTGTATGTGTAACTCTGATTAGCATGAGTGGGAGTTAACAAAGGAATTAGAATGTCCATGACAATGGGAATTGCTCAGAAATCCACCCACAGCACCAACAGCGGAACAGACTGCGGTGTCATCATAACGTACAAACTGGGACCATATCTGCGATTTCCTGTTTAGTCTCCTTTCCCCAAAGGTTATATTTCTGACTTAAAATAACTTTCCTGCTACCACCTTCTCTGAAGTGTTTCAGTTCACAATGAACCTTTTGAATATTCAAGTATCTTTAAGCAGGAGGTTCAACAAATACATCAATGGGGCATCTAAGGTCTTGGTTTTAATCTACAAAGGTCCCCATATTTTAGCACCTGATTAGCTTAGAGACTGCCCCTCTCATGCGGCACTCCAATGAGCTACTTTACTGGAGAAGCTATGGCTGTCAGTCCCTAGCTGGACAATTTGAACACACAATAAAAGTGTCATCAGTAAAAGGTTTGCAAATAGCCTAGTCTGAATTGTTGTATTATGGAGCAAAATGACTGGGGGTGATGCTGGCTCTTTTGATATTTTATATGCATTCACATACACATGGTGTTTAATATCCTCAGAACAGTGAAAAAAAGAGAACAGCAATGTTACATCCATGAAACAAATCTGAACACCATTCACTGGAATGAAAGTGCACTTGAGACTTGATGTTCAATACCACTCATGTATTGTTAGACTAAAATATTTCGGTTTGTATAAGCCACTTTGCACACTGTAGCAGGGCATTAAGGTGCCTGCTACTGGTAGAGCTGGGATAACTATCCAGGTGCCGGTTGCTAGGGCAACCAGAGGGAGCTAGGGGCC